TCAGTCTCCATGGGAGATGCAAAATGACCAGTGGAGGAGAGGGGACATTCTGATTGCTATGCAACCAGAAGGAAATCTCAGCTAAAAAAATACTGAATGCCAACCACCTCGCTAGTGACAATAAATGTGTCCTGGACTTAATGGTGGCACTGCTTCCTAAGTCCTTCCTATAACTCAGGAAAGCCATGCCCTCAATGTGACATGATGCGCTGCCAGCCAATAAGTGGACACTTTAAGATGTTGGTTTTAACCAAGCCCAAAGTGACTTGCACCTGCCCTCCTGAGCGACCACTCATGTAATAGGTGATCAGTCAGGTTACTACAGTTATTAATATTAGGGCAATATATGAGCACCAAGTACCTAGTTAATATTTAATCTGTGACCTGTATTCTTAGGCTAAAGTTCCAGGCACCTTATGGTAAAATTTTCTAAGCTACCCAAGGGATCAGATTTAAACCCTCTATTGACATGAACATAAATGGGATTTGGCCACCCTAATACCTTGGGTGGATCTGAAAACCCCTCCCTGAAAAGCACAAATAAATACAAGTGTGGATGGAGGAATTAAAGCAGACAGGCCAAGTAACTTCGCCCAGGCTATGACCTGTAATAATTTTTGTTGCTCTTCTCTGGACCCTTTCCAGTTTCTCCACATCTTTCTTTAAATGTGGTGTCCAGAAGTGGACATACTACCCCAATCGAGGCTGATCAGCACAGAATGAATCTGCAGTACTCCTTCCCATTCTATATGTGTGAAACTGAAAAGTGGAGTACTCTGTATTTGTCCTTATTAAACTTCATCCTATTTACCTCAGACCATTTCTCCAGTTTGTCCAGATCATTTTGAATTATGACTCTAACCTCCAAAGCAGTTGCAACCCCTCCCAGCTTGGCATCATCTGAAAACTTAATAAGTGTACTCTCTATGCCAATATCTAAATAGTTTGTGATGTTATTGAGCAGAACCAATTCCAGAAAGGACCCCTGCAGTAACCCATTTGTAACCCCTTCCAGCATGACTGTGAACCATTGGTAACTACTCTCTGAGAATGGTTGTCCAGCCAGTTATGCACCTGTCTTATAGTAGCCCCATCTACATTGTATCTTCCTAGTTTATTGAGAAGAAGGTCATGCGAGACTGTATCAAATGCTTTACTAAAGTCTAGGTATACCACATCTACCACTTCTCCCTTATCCACAAGACTGGTTATCCTATCAAAGAAAGCTGTCAGATTGGTTTGACATGATTTGTTCTTTACAAATCCATGCTGGCTGTTATCTATCCCTTATTATCTTCCAGTTTTCAGTTGAATTATTTAATTACTTGCTCCATTATCTTTCCCAGCACAGAAATTAAGCTGACTGGTCTGTAGTTTCCTGGGTTATTCTTATTTCCCTTTTTATGGATGGACACTATGGGTACATCTACACTGCAAGGCTATTTTGGGAATAAACGCCCATACAAGCCACCCGGTATTTTGAAATATTTTTCAAAATAACAGATGTGCTATTTCGCCATCCTGGAAAACTTTATTGCATGAGGGATAAGAGTTGGCTAGAAATTGTGCATTATTTCAAAATTTGGCGCTATGTAGACACACCAAATTTCAAAATAAGCTATTTTGAAATAGATTCGCAAATTGTGTATCTTATTTTGAGTTTTGGGTGCTGTGTAGACGCACCCTATATGTGCCCTTTTTTAGACCTCTAGAATCTCTTCCGACTGCCACAGCTTTTCAAAGATGACAGCTAAAGGCTCAGATACCTCCTCTATCAGCTCCTTGAGTATTCTAGGATGCATTTCATAAGGCCCTGGTGACTTGAAGACAACTAACTTTTCTAAGTAATTTTAACTTGTTCTTTTCCTATTTTAACTTCTAAACTCACCCCATTTCCACTAGCATTAACTATGTTAGGCATCATGTCACCATCAATCTTCTTGGTGAAAACCAAAACAAAGTAGTCATTAAGCACTTCTGCCATTTCCAAGTTTTCTGTTATTGTTATTCCCTTTTTACTAAGCAGTGGGCTTACCCTGTCCTTGGTCTTTCGCTTGGCTTCCAATATATTTGTAGAATGCTTTCTTGTTACCTTTTACATCTCTAGCTAGATTCAGCTTGCTTTGTGCCTTTGCCTTTCTAATCTAGCTCATACATACTTGCATGATTTGCTTATATTCATCCTTTGTAATTTGACCTAGTTTCCACTTTTTATATAACTCCTTGGATTTATAGATCATGTAAGATTTCCTGGTTAAGCCAATGTGGTCTCTTGCCATACTTTCTATCTTTCCTACACAGTGGAACAGTTTGCTTTTGGGCCCTTTATAATGTCCCCCTTTGAAAAACTGCCAACTGTCTCAAGTTGTTTTTCCTCTTAGCCTTGCTTCCCATGAGACCTTACCTACCAGCTCTCTTAGTTTACTAAAGTCTAGTTGAGACTCGCTAAATCGAACTCAGAGGGTTCACTACTGGTATTCCTGCTTCTGCAAGGATTAAGGGAAGCAGATGGGAACACTGTGGGGATGGTGAGGAAGTGCAAAACAAGGTACATCGACTCCAGCTATGTAATTAGTATAGCTGGAGCTGTGTATCTTGATTTGATGTACCCTATGAGTGTAGACTTGGCCTAAGTCATTTGCCCAAGGTCATATAAGACGACTATGATAGAGCAGGAAACTGAACCCACTCTCCTAAGTCAAAAATTAGCACCATAAACCACTGAACCACCTTCAGGCCTTATTGTGAGACCACTAAGCAACCCCTGTCTGCATTTAGTGCTTCTAACAGTTCAATGTCAATCTGGCTAGCTATTGTCCCCAAGAACTGTAAGGTTCTGCAAATACAAGGCCAACTGAATGCATCAAGGTCTTCTAAGCAATGGCTCAAAATTCGTTTGAGCTCAACTTTTCAGAACATTATTCTCTTCTGAAATGTTTGTCAAACTCTGCCATTTGATCTGCAGGAATAGAAGAGGTAGTAGAAGAACAGTTGCTCAGACCTTTGCTTTCCACTGACATAACGGTAAAAGGATAAAAGAGAAATTATCACATGATGTGTTCAGCTAAGTGCATGAAAATCACATGCTAGGTTGATCGGTGTCTTGACAAAATAATTTTTGGTTATAAATTCAAGTACAATGGAACAACGGAATACCATTTTACTCTTGTGCACACCTCAAAAGATTTCAGATTCAACTTGCAAAAGTTCTCAGTGTCTTGAATTTTTAAATTCTCTCCTATTTTGTTTTATGTTTTCTTTTTCCTGAATTCATCTTTTGCTGGCTGGCCAGATTACTTGTTTTCCTCCAAAATGCATCTTCAGTGATAATGGCACTGACCTCTATAATATTTTAGTCAATGTCCTAGGACACTTACGTTGTTCAACTCCAAGTTTACAGGAGGAGACTTAGTAATAGAGATTGGTCCATGTTGCAACATGCAGGCTAACTTTTTGGAGCGTTTAAAAATGAAATCAGCACGTGGAAGGTAACAAGCTAATATTGGGGTTAAGGCACCAGTCTGGTACTCAGGAAAGCTCAGATCAATACCTGGCTCAAGCCCCACACAGGTGCCGGCTTCTTCTGGGCCTTAGGGGTGCTCAAACCCACACGTTGCCCCAGACCCTGCCCCCAATTGACTCCTTCCTCCCTCCTTCCCACTCTCACTCCACCTCTTTCCAACACCTTCGTTCAGCCTTGCCCTGCCTCTTCCTGCACTGTAAATATCCATTAAAAACGTTAACCGGTTCAACAATATAATTGTAATTGTTTAACCAGTTAAGCACGTGGGTGTGACCCAGCTAGCCCACTGCAGGTAGGGAGCACTGCTCCAGCTGGATGGGGTTGCACTTCACCATGGGAAGGGGACTGCTCTGGCCAGCAGGGGTCCCACTGGCCGGGCCGTAGCATGTGGCGGGCTGCTCCTCCTCCCTGGCCCTTCGGTTAACCAGTTACCAAGAAGCATGCTGGTAAGGCTAATGCTTACCAGGTAACTGGTTAACCCTTCACAGCTCTACTCTACACTGCCACAGATTTCATGGATGACCTTAGGAGAGCTGCTTCATTGGTCTCTGCCTCAAGTTCCCTATGTAAAGCAGGGACAATAAATACTTCCTTTGCTTGACTGTATGGTTTAAACTGAGCTTTTTGTAGCAACGACTTTAACAACTACATGTATGTACAGATTCAAGCACAGTGGGGCCCCAGGCTCAATTGGGGCCTATAGGTGCCAATACAATAATAATACTTGGTGTAATACAATAATACTAGATATAATATAATAGTAATAATGTAATAATATAAGTGTAATACAATAATAATCATTTTAAACACCCCAAAGTTCCCAGCCTTCAAATCCAGGGATTTATTTGGGTTTCTTACAAAGACAATGTCCATTTGCAAATTGTGGATGCTCATCTGAGCTTGAATCAAAAACACCCACAAATTCAGGTGTGCTGGACTCTCTATATGCCCTGTTTTTGGTGTGAATTGCATGCCAGGAAGCTGGACCTGTCTGATAAAAAAATAAATATTGTGATGCCCTTGATGCAGAAAATTGTTCTGTGTCATCAGATCAAACACTGCTGTTTGAGGGAATTATAGCTGGACGTGCTTGTCTGCAATTAAAGCTGAATGCAAACTGACCTGGCAGAGCGCCAGAATCTCATGGCTTCCCACCAAGAGTAAGCTGACCTGATCAGTCTCAGCTATATAATAAATGTTACTCCTGGTCTGCCACCACTCTTCTCTCTGATTTGTCACAAATTACGCCCCCTCCAGCAATGAATTACCTTCAGATTTCGTGCAGAGCCAGTCTAATAACTGGAACAGGGGGCCTTTGAAATAGCTTGCTCTGTGTAGCATATGCATTGGCTGTGAAGGCTCTAAAACACTGCAGATTTACAAACTTGAGCTGGTGTCAGATGTTCCCTGCATGTATTTCCAAGGGTGTGAAGCAAATAATTTAACTGGAGCCTCTTTATGCCAAAGCAAAACTTACCTCAGTTTTTCCTTTACTCTGACAGGACCTCCTGGTGTCTTCATCTGAGCCCCATTCTGTTGCCTGGGAAACCAAAACGTACAAGTCACATGATAATAGTGTGAACTATTGCTTCTTGGCTAACCCACATCTGGAGACTCAAAGAAACAAGAGCAAGCATCTCAAGTCAATTTATGCAGTGCAATTTACAGCAGGCATCGGGATAGTAAACACAATGTCATATACATCATTCTTGTTGTGCTCACAGTGCAAACAAATGATAAATAGATGAACCGTCCAGAGGGTGAGGCAACTAACATGTTAACAGAGAACAGCTTTTAATTTGCATGTAAATACAACATCTGATTATAATTCAAGTGGAAGGGTGCAATGCATAAGCCCCATACTCCAGGACTTTGCCCTTTTTAAAGGTGCAGGACAGTGTGAAAGCACCAGCTTTGAGCACCAGTGTGGAACAAACAAAATTCTTTACAGCAAAATCAGAGGTATTTAACAATAGTTTTGCACAAATTTTTAGCGTTCTTAAAAGCAACCCAGAGATAATCACCCTATTACTGACACATTGTGTTAGTCACACTGCAAAATCAGTTGGATAAGATGAGAAATGGAGGTTCACAGGAACACCTTTGTGAGGAGTGTGGGGGACCAGACCTCAAAGTGATGTACATTACAGCTAAAGAAATGTGGAATGTTTGGTTACATCCTGACCTGATGTAAAATGGCTATGGTCACGGTTTAAAGTTAGCCAGAGCTGTCCAGAGCAGAGCATCGATGAATATTTTTCAACCCAGGATTGAAGTCCTGGGTGTGTATGAAGCATGGGCTCTCTGGGAAATGCTATAAGACCATGGTGTCCAGCACACTAGCCACTAACCACACATGGCTATTTGGCTGGTTGTGTGTGGCTAGTTCGCTATAGCAGTAGCCACTTTAGTGGCTAGTGCTTTGGAGCTGGTTGGACACCATGGCTATAGGACAACTTAAGCCCTGGCTATGCTGCATTGCCAACAGTGGAGCGATGCTGATTTACACCATCTGAGGACCTGACCCATCATGAATGCTTTGATAAAAGAGAGCCAGATCCCAGAAATCCTACATCAGATACAGGGCAACTTCCAGCTTAAATAAAAAACCAGCAATACATCCAGGCTTTTACCCCCTTCTCAGTTTTCCCCCTTTTAAGCACTTTAAAAAAAATAAATAATAAATTAAAGCAAAATACCACAGAACACAATAAAACCCTAGCAAAAAATAAGAACGGGGTTTGTAAAAAAATTTTGAAAATGCATCATGGAAACCAAGAGGTCCAGAAGAGGTTGGAAGAGCTAACTCAGACCACACAGGTGAGGCAGAAGTGGAGATGCAGATCAGCTGTCAAGAGCAAACAGGATAAATCCCATTTTTATCAAAAGTGGGGTACAGAGGAATGTGCAGCGGGGGGCAGGAGTAAGAGGGACAAGCAATGGCGCCAGTCCCATGCTGGGGGGAGACTGAGCACAGGCAGAGGACAGGTAGGTTCAAGTAAATGACACACCAACCCCAGTCCCATATTCTGTGCTCTTTTCCCTTTAGGAAATATGGTCACCCTACTCCTAAGCCATGTTTTTGGTGCTGGGTTCTTTTGTGGACAACCTTGTACTCCCACATCCCCTGATGAGGCTGCTGCTAACACAAGCCCTTGCTGATAGAGAACGAATTATAGGAACATGTTGCCAGTGACTGCACCATTCATTAATTCAAGTTTCATTAGAGTCAAGAGGATAATGAAGCACTAAAGGCACATTTTATTAGAGCAGAATACAAACCTCGGGTGAGCTCTAAGGCCCAGGCTTGAAGGCTGAGTGACTCCAATGACCCCCATGACTCAAAGAGAACATTTAAAGACCAGCAAAGGGGGGACCTGGAACATCTCATCCCTTATAAAAATATAGCTGCAAAACCAAAACGCTAATTTATATTTAAAAAAACAGTAGTTGTACATCATGTGCCGGGGACTGTCCCAAAGCCAACTGAGGCCTGGCCATTCATTTCAATGGGCTTTCTCGGGATCCACAAAAGGGCAGGCTTTTGAGCTCAAACTTTTCATCATCTCACCTGGCCTTTCAGATTCCATCTGCTCTGTTTAAATCCCTCTGACAGCCAGTCTCTCCACCAGGTGCCCCCATTTTCAGCTCCACAACCACTCCAGAGTTGTTGTTTTTTTTCTTTCATTTCTGCGCTTGCCCCTATCGAAGCCTCCCTGAAAACTAACAGCGCTCCCTTCTACTTTCCTTCCAAGCATCTCCTTCCCAGAAGTGCCTTATGAAACCTTCCTCCTCCCCATTCAACACTTCTGCTTCAGCCAACTTTATCTCCCAGTACCTTTCAGAATCTCTTCAGTCAATCTTTCCAAGGAGACATATGTATTCTGAGGCACACTGAGCACATGTCTGGCTGAGTCTTTCTGTGTATTTCTCATGGGTGCTGATACTTACATAACCAGCACAGTACCAAACTCGGGAGAGGGGGGGACAGTCAGGCACCCTTGCACTCATTTCACTACCTGATCACAAGGCAGGTGTCCCGCCCAGTCATCACACCTTTTCTTAGCCTTAAGTAAACAAAACAAAAAAACAAAAAAAAAGGTAATTCTGTTTGATTCTCAAAGCTGTCTCTGCACATTTAGCTGCACTGCAAAGTAACTAAGTAACAGGCTACTACCCACCAGGCTGGAGATCATCTTGAATCCTTCACTCATTTTCTCAGCTGTCTCAGCCATTTAAGTTTCACCAGAATATATGGGGCTATTTCTGTACCTCCCGACATACATGTCAATCAGGAAAAGAACGGCAGATGCCTATGGAATGAGATGGTGAGACACCAAGAAAACAAAGCCTGGGTGGCTGGATGACGGAAGATGGTAGGAGCATGCAGAACAGGAAAACAGAGATTGTGAAGGTTCTTCCAGTTGCTCTCCCCATCTTCCACGTGCTTCTGTGAGCCAGCAATATTGAGCAGTTTGAGTGTAGATTTATGGGAGGCACCAGTACCCCCCTCCTGGAGCATTCCACCTCCTCTCAGACCTCCTACTTGGAAGGCTTCCAGCCACCTCACCCTTCCCTCTTCCTATTTCCAAACATGTATGGGATTTCTTATTGTCAATGTTTCTGGAAACTTTGGGGCCCTCATATGAACCCATGCGATCCATGTGCAGCATGAAGCAAGCTCAGATTCTTGTACTATAAGAATCTGAATAACTAACCCAAGCATACTACCACGACATAAAATGATGGGCACAAAAACATGCACAGAATGGCCCACCCATCTGTGCAGGCTGGCACTAAAAATGCTGGTAACAGTATTGGAAGATGGATGATGCCATTTAATGTGCTCTTCATTCATAAAATTGACAGGTGCATCTGCTTCCCCTCTCGTCCACCTCTGTTATTTGTTACTTTCAACACACAATTCTTCTCCAAAAAACCTTCTGCTGAAACTTTGTGGAGCCACGTAAGGGAGAAGAATGAATTATCTGAGCTGAAGAGATCACGTTTACATCATCTCAGATACATGATGCAACAGTGGCTGAAAAACATCCTAAGTACCACACAAATAGGGCACAGATGCAAATCTCACCTTTTGTTAAGGTTCACAGATATTCGGATTTAGAGTTTGATTGTGTTCTTTTTAACAAGTTGTGGAGGGCAGTTGTAAAGTTTTCATCCAGTTCAAAACATATTTATGCTGACAAATTATTGCATCTGAAAACTCTATCCTATCTTGTGCTTTCAAACTCTCTCTCACTCAGGGCACACTTCCCAGTTACTCAATTACCAACAGGTGCCACAACGAGTCTCCTCCCCTATGTCACTACAAAATCCTAGGGATCTATGTCATTCATGGATGTCTTCAGACTCTGATGCAACTCTCTCACTAACTATGGTGGGCTGGATTTGTCTTTCGCCCAGTAACACTGATTTGCAATCTATAATTAATTTGAGACTGCATTTTAATGTAGTAGATTAAGCTCACAATAATCCTTCTATTATACTTGGAATACAAAGATACATTTTTGTCCAGAATGAAGGTATCATTTCAAAAATGGAAAGCAAAGACTATAAAAAATAAGTTACACTGCATATGTATTTGGTAAATGAAACCCATTTTTAATTTCTAAAGTAGCTCATTACAAACCCACCCATCTGTTACCATCCTCACTTTCATTAAATACACGTTCCATCCAAGCTGCTGACAGCCTTTTGTGCCGTCAAAATAGATAGGCTTAGAATCATGCTGTTCGCTTCTCTTTTCATTAAGATCTTTTGTTTTTACATTTGACGTTATTTATATCTGAAGGTGGTTGGAATGCACATATTGCAAACACAGGGTCTAGTTCTGTAAGGTGCCAAGCACCTCCTTGAAGAGCTTCAGCGCCCTCAACTCCTACAGATGTCTATGGGAATAGAAGGAGCTGAGAATGTTGCCAGATCAGGTCTACAGGGACTGCTAATGGCATGGCCTCAGCTCTCCCATCAATGTACAGGGATACACAGAAGAGGCTTCTTCCATCTGCCCAGGATAGTACCCTGCGCGGAGACAGCCAATAATCCTACAGGGCTGGTATTTTCAGTTAAAATACTCTTCCGACAAGAAACACACTTGTTTCCAATACTCCTTATTCCAGCACAAACCTCTGGGTTTCTTGTCATTTATATTAGTAAACCTCTGTGTTGAATGAATGTGGGGAAAGCTCTCAAGTGGTCCTGACAGCAGTAAGCTAGAGGGTGTTCAATACTTCACGGGCACAATTAAGCAAAGCATTTAAGTATCAACTTAACTTTAAACATGTTTAAATCCACCTCTGTTCAGCAAAGCATTTCAACATGCGCTTAAGTCTGTTGACTTCAACAGAACGAAGTCACTTGTTTGAGTGCCTGGCTACACAAGGATGGGCTTTCGCATGTGCCTAATATTCATCACATGCTTAAGTTCTTTGCTGCATTGGGGTCATGATCAAGCCCTTTAGGCAAAATGTTACTCACAAAAGCCAGCATATTTCTGCTACAAACTGCCACCATAAACCT